AATAAATGAAAAGGTGTCCCATATTCACAGACAGGAAGGCAAAAGCTAAGATGCACAACAACTACTATCAAACTGGTAACAACCATATGTGCAGAAATAGAAAAGATAACCCAACATTTTTTTTGAATTCTTATATGTCTCAATCATAATAATGTTGAAAAAGAATAACGTTGGCAGATATGCATTCATGAGATTGAAATCTGAGAGGAAAAGATACAGAAATTCAGACAGCAGGGTCCTAGCACGGGGGCACCCGTTAAGTATTGGAAATATGGAATACAGATCCCAAAATTCAACGCATGCATACACAGCCAACTGATCTTCAACAAAGGTGCCGAGAATGCACAATGGGAAAATAAGGTCTCTTTAACAAATAATGGTAAAATCCATATTCTCATTTAAATAATGAAATTGAGCAGTGTGCTCAAGGGTGTGCTTCTTCCTCCATTTACAAGACACCAGAGCTTTGCAATGACCCCAGAGCAAATCTTCATCCTGTCCCCCATGCCCAGACTGAGCCCTTGATAGCAGGAGTAAATAGCAAGGACACAGACAAATGAATGTGCTGCCAGAAGGTGAGCATCAGTTCGTCCCAAGCATCTGGGCACACTGTGGAAGACTTGTTGTCTTCAGGATTAAGTAACTGCCATGACAGAACTGTGTCCCAAACCAAAGGCTTTAACATTTTGCAGTAGCAGAGGCAGAAAAGAGGTATCCTTAGAAAGACCATCTTTAAATAATAAAGCAAGAACAGGGGACACACAAAAAAGAAGAAAAAAAAAAGAAGAGGTGATCACAGACAGGGTACTCACACTTCTCACCACTATGACATTAAACTCTGACAAGAACAAACTTCAGCCACGTTTTCTTTTTCTTCTCTTTCTACAGGCTCACTCAGCCTCCCAAGCAGCAGGCAGAAGCTGAAGGCTCCTGGGAACCTGCTTTATTAGATTCCACCTGTAATCTTGTTGCCTACCTGGAAAGGTGTCTTCTTCACTGTTGAGATTTTCCAGAATCCACTCTTTAGAACCACCAACAGCAGAGTAAAGAGAGGTGCACTCACTTCTACTCCAGGTGAAGCCACGTCGGCTCACATAACATCCCCTGGCTGGTCCTCTGGGTTCACATGCATTCATACAGTCCCTCTGATCATAGTTATACACTTGCAAAATTATTTGCTCTCACTAGACCCCCAATATTCTTTAACCAGAGCCCAGAATCAGGTTTCTATATATGAAAAACAGCAAGTTTGTTCCACAGCAAGTGAGCTACTTGAGGGTACATACCGTCAACAGCGAGTGATGAACCCTGCAATTAGACAAAACAAGATGCTATGAGGATCAGATGAATTCTCCTGCACCCCCGCCCCCACTCCCACAGATCTGTCAGTCTTTTGATGACTTCAGGAAACTAGTTGTAAGACAATGGTTGAGTCAAAGGTCAAGAATCAAACATGCTAGAATAGAGGACACCTGTGGAAAAGACAAGACCTTTCCCACAATTTATCTAGAAGTCGATTTACATTGGCAAATACACAATGCCTAAACCAAAAAAGAGGAAAACTGGTGTTGAGGAAAATTCCTCTGCGTTACAGTTGATAATGAATGCTGTCATCTAAAAACATTCTAAGATATTACATATCTGATGGGAAGACACTCCCATTGAATTCCAACCCCAAAAAGAGAATGGGACATGTCAGACATAATGTGCCTTCTCACATTATCACAATTAACAGAAGGAAAGAAATCAGAAAACAAACAATTCTTTTTTCATTTCGTTTTCTTCTGAAGTTTAGGTTCCAGGATGCATGTGCAGGACTGTGCAGGTTTATTACACAGGTAAACATGTGCTATGGTGCTTTGCTGCATCTATCAACCCATCACCTAGGTTTAAGCCCCGCATCCATTAGCTATTTATCCTAATGCTCTCCCTCCCCAATCCCCACCTGACAGGGCATTCTTTAGAGGACAGAAAAAGGGGTTCTTACCTCACCATCTTCCTCACACTTGGGGCTCCTGCAATCCTCAGGAGGAGCAAAGTCAGTACCCTGGTGGCTGTAGACTGTGAGTAACTCAAGGAGCTTTGCTGGGTGTGGCATATGGAGTGTGGGACTGAAGATTCTGAGACCATCTCAGAGAAACAACTATGTTCAGATAGTACCGTGAGGGAGTCTCACCAGATATCTTTCATCTTAGACAATGCCAAGACCTAATAATATTCTCGCATTCCCAATTCCCAAAAGATATTAACCAATCAAAAAGCAAGGCTTAGATGTTTGCTGTGACATAGGCAGGAAAAACTGGTCTCCTGGGAAAAGTCATCATTAAATACCAGAGTAAGAAACGATGGTTACAAAAGCAGCCCACAAAGCCCATGGACACACATCCTCTCATCTCTATCTTATTAAAATCCAACAGAAATAATTCAGACCTCTACAGCTATTTTTTTTTTTTTTTTTTTTTGGTTCTGGCTTCATAGCCCCTTTCCTAGGTTCCAAAGCAATGGGTGTAACCCAACTGCTCCCAGAAATAGTACTTTTGTTTTTGTTTGTTTGAGACAGTCTTGCTAACCAGGCACCGGGCTGGAGTGCAGTGGTGGGATCTTAACTGACTGCAATATCTGCCTCCTGGTTTCAAGCAATTCTCCTGCCTCAGCCTCCTAAGTAGCTGGGACTACAGGCACACACCACCACGCCCAGCTAATTTTTGTAGTTTTAGTAGAGACGGAGTTTCACCATGTTGCCCAGGATGGTCTTGATCTCTTGACCTCGTGATCCGCCCACCTCAGCCTCCCAAAGTGCTGGGATTAATAACCTGAGCCACTGCACCCGGCCTAGGGTATCATTTTCTACCTGCATAAATTGTCCTATTGCAGCTTCCCTCATGGATGGTGTCAACTGGCAAATCTTTAGAGACACAAATCTCAGCAAGAAGTTATTTCGGAGAGTGACTCACCCACCCTCCTATTCCAGGTGAGGCCACACTAGATTACACGAGATCACCCTGAGCTTTCCTCCATGTTCTCAGCTCTCCAGACTCTGTGGAGCCAGAGGTTTTCAACAAGGCATTGCTTACACTTTCCAGCCTTCAAGTAAGAAAGAGAAGCTGAAGGAATCACCTTTCCATTTTTCCTTCTACTGGCCCATTATCAGTCTCACCTCCAATTACACAACCCTAGGATCCCAACTTTGATGTGCACGCTTTGAGTGACATGAGTCCAACAGTCAGATCCTGGGCCAGGCTCACAGCAGACATGCAAGACAGCATTCTGTGGGGATGGACATGCTCTCTGATGTACAGCTGCTGGGCCATGTACAATCGCATGGTGGCTGTTGTGATGAGGTTTTGAATATTTCATTGTATATATTTATTTAAGTATAAAGAGGTATATATATGACTGAGAAGCACACTAGATGGGACAGCTCCAGATATCCAGACATGAGGAAGACCCGACTCCCCTCTCCTGGTGTTTTTTGCAGAATCCTGTGCTGCTCTGATCTTACCACACATTTAGGGTTACTTCCTTGCACAAGGGCCTGTCACTGTGTGGGGCTGAGGATATGACAGTGAGGACAACATCCAGGTCCAGAGGGATTCCAGCAGGGATGCGCTTGCACCCAGTGGAAGAGCATGGCCCTGCACACCCTGTCCAGACTAGATCAGAGCAGCAGGATCAGAGGGGTGGGGGCATCTCACTGTCTTCAGGAGCTCACCCTTATCTCCAGAGACCCTGACTCAGAAGCTGGGCAGGCTCCAGGTTGAGTGTGTGGCTAAACAGGCTGAGAAGGAAACCTTTCCACACCTGCACTAGAACCCAGCCCAGGGGTGACCTAGAGCTCATCCCAGGGGTGTGTTCATTAAAACATCCATGGAGCCTAAAAAGTGTCTGTCCCAGGACTGAGCTCTGGGGTAAAAACAAATGAGGGAAGACACAGTCACTGCCCTGCGAGTAAATACCCATAGCCAGGGCTCCTCTATTCACCTGTGGGAAGACTCAGATCCAAAATAAGTGGAAACTGAGATGTTATGGATTGCACAGAAGAGTTGCAAGGATGACCTGGAGTCTGGGATCAGTCCCCAGCCCTTTGCTGAGATCACCCTGCACTGAAACTCATGTCCCTCCCTACCTGCCCTACTACTTTGGAGTGCTGCAGCTGCCCAGGCCAAAAGCTGGAAGACTCTGTCCAGTTGAAAAGCATTTCTGGGCCAGAAGACCCTTGGCCAACAGGGTCTACTGAAGAATCATTCCTCAGGAGATTTCCAGAAGAGGTGAAAAATAAAAACTTGTCTGTCTCAGCCCCAGGAAGATCAGGCCTGGGACCTCTCTGTGTCTGGTCTGACCCTGAGGTCCATTCCTACTGACTCATGTCCTGTCTGTTCCGTGTCAAAAAATGGGGACCTGATTCCTGTTCTGCCCCTCTCCGCAATGACACTCTGTTGGTATCATTGCCATCATCGCACAAAGAGATGGAGAAGATTTCTCAAGGTATTTAGGGTGATGTTCACATCAAGCTTTCGACAGAGAGAAAGGCCAAGTCCTACTCACTCCTCCCCAGAAGGGGTCTCATATCCTGCCTGGGCCCCGGTGATGACGCTGAATGGATGCCCCTAACACTGCAACCTTGACATTCTCTTTTAACAATGTCCCTAATGTTCTCATTTGTTTCCCCTCTGATCCTCTAAATCATGTTTCCCTTCAGGTCTAGCACGAGGCTCTCCCTTGCTCTCTCCCATGAAGCCCACTAAGCAGGTGTCCATGAATTCAGAGAACCTCAATGTTGGTAACACTGATATTTTCCTTGACTCACACACAGCAGCGCCCCCAAAGCACCAATGGGAAGCTTCGTCTAAAGATTAAAGGTGTCAAGGACAATCTGCTCATGAGAAAATCACTTCTGGGGTGAACAAGTGACATTGCACAACCAAACAGTTTCATTCTTTTGTTCCATTGGGAAAATACTGACACATACAAGACAAATTTTACTGAAAAGCAAAGCATCTTCACAGAATGAATGCTCCAAAAAAAACCCCTCAAACCATCATGTGGTCTACTTAACATTGATCATGACTTAAAGCAGCTACCTTGGCTCTCTGTGTGAAGGTTTTCAGAAGGAAACAAAAACCTATTTCAACAGTAGAATCAATAGGGCATGATGGAGATTCCACTGTCTAGAGCTGAGTTCTTCATGGAGACATCTGTTTCTCACAGCACACCCGAGATCCTCACACCTATCAGGAACCCGAAGCTAGAAAGGTTCTCCAGACAAAAGCAAGCAAGAAAATCACCCCTGACTTATCACCAAGATGTGTCATTAGGAAGAAAGTGGTATTAGAATATGTACAATGTTAGAGAGGGGAACAACACACACAGTGGGGGAAGTGGACGGGAGAGCATCAGAATAAAGAGCTATTGTATGCGGGGCTTAATACCTAGGTGATGGGTTGACAGGTGCTGTATAACAAAGCTGCACATCCTGCACATGTATCCCATAACTTAAAATCAAATTTGATTTAAATAGAAATTGCCAGAGAAGGCAAATCTAGAAAGTACCTTAGTGGCTACCTAGGGCCAGAAGTGTGGGCCTTGGGGAAAAAGAGAAGTGACTACTAATGGCTTTAGAATTTCTCTGAGGAGAAATTAAAAAATTCTAAACTTAGATTCTGACAATGGCTGCACAACCCTGTAAATATAGTAAAAACACTACATCACCCACTTTAAACAAGTGAATAGTTTTGCATGTCAACTCTGTGACAATAAAGCACTTTATGAGAAAAAGAATACATACGGAGGTCATTTGGGGCTGTCACGGAGTCCTGCAACAAGAGAAAAACAAAGCATCTTAACATGCGGGGTGCGGTTGGTGCAGATATTTATCATGGTGACATTAGAAAACCACATGTCACTGGTGCCCAAATGAAGCATGTAATGTTTTGGAAATGTAGCAAGTGGCCATGTCAGCTGAAAGATACCAAATAATTTTTCAAAAAGAATATGTTGCCACTGAGAAATAGGCCCATGACCAGACTGTAAGTTATGCCATCTTTTGACTGACATCATCAATCAGGCTTCAGTTGGTGAGAAACTCCACTGACTGGTCGCTAGAGTCCACGACAACTGAGGTGTGATTCACCATGGCAGTCGAAAATGATCTTCGCTTGATATTCCAGAGGCCCCAGGAATAAAAATTTCTCTTCGAGACAAAGAAATGCATCTCACCACATCACGGGGTAGGTCCTCATCCTCGTCATCCTCTAAGATGATTTCAAGAGGACCTAAGACAACACAGAGTGACAGTCAGTGCATTGGTGATGCTCAGGAATCTCACAAGGAGCTTTGAGAAATGTGGACCAGGCTGGAGTGCATGCAGCTGGTCGTTTGACAAGCATGGACCCAGCTGCTGGTGGACCATTTTCCTTGGTGCAGGAAAAGGAAAGGGGCAGAGAGGAACGAAAGAGCCTTGGCTTCCTAGCTGGGGCAGCCTCATCAATGTGAAATCGTCATTTGAAGAACCGGTTAATACAGAAAGGCAGTGTAAGTACAGAAAGAGGAAGTAGATTAGGGCTGCCTAGGACCAGGGGCGTGGGGGGTTGGGGAGAACAGAGGAGTCACTACTAAGCGGGTTTTCTGAGGGGGAAAAACAGCTTCTAAAATTAGACTCTAACAATGGTCGCACAACCCTATAAATAGAGTAAAAACACGGAATCACCTACTTTAAATAAGTGAATTTGTTTGCATACGCACTACGTCTCGGTAACTGTTTAAAAGAAAAAGAATACGTACGGCGGTGACACGAAACGGCGGGCTTCTCCTGCAATAAGAGAAAAAGAAACACCATGAGGATGACATCATGCTGGGTCCTGCTGGCACAGGTCTAATATTCACTTGGTGACGTTAGATAGGTTCACGCATGTAATCCAGCATGTGGGGAGGCTGAGGCGGGCAGATCATGAGGGCAAGAGGTTGAGGCCATCCTGGCCAACATGGTGAAACGCCGTCTGTACTAAAAACTACAAAAAAACCGGCGTGGTGGTGGCGAGAACCTTCAGTCCCAGCTACTCGGGAGGCTGAAGCAGGAGAATTGCTTGAATGCAGTAGGAGGACGCTGCAGTGCTCTGAGATCACACCACTGCACTGTAGCCTGGAGACAGAAAGACTCTGTCTCAAAAACTAAACTAAACTAAACAAAAAACCAGATGTCAAAGAGTGTTGAAGTCACAGGCCCCAAATGGAGCACAGGGGGCGCTTGCAGAAAATGCAGTGGCTTTGGAATACTTAGCAGGTATCTATGCTGGCTGAAAAATACGAAATTGTATTTCAAGGAGAAAACGTTGCAACTGAGAAATATGCCCCAAACCAAATTGTTAGCTATGCCATCTTTTGATTGACATCCTCAGTTGGTGAGAAACTCCACTGACTGGTCGCCGGACTCCACGACACCTGAGGTCCGATTCACAATGGCAGTCAAAAAGGATATTCACTTGATATTCCAGAGGCCCCAGAAAGAAAAATTTCTCTTTGAGACAAAGAAATGCATCTTACCTCGTCACGGGGTAGCTCCTCATCCTCGATGTCTTCTAGTATGAGGTCCTGCGGGACCTCAACGGGACCTAAGAGAACACAGAGTGACGGTCAGTGCATTGGTGCTGCTCAGGAATCTCACCAGGGGCTTTGGGAAATGTGGACCGGGACTGGAGGGTATGGAGCTGGGCGTTTGACAAGCACGGACCCAGCTGCTGCTGGACCATTCTCCTTGGTGCTGAAGGAAGGAAAAGGAGAGGGGCAGAAAGAAATGAAAGAGCCTGGCTTCCTAGACAGGGCAACCTCATCAACCGTGAAATCATCATTTGAAGAACCGGTTAATACAGAAAGGCAGTGTAGTACAGAAAGAGGAGATTAGGGCTGCCTAGGACCAGGGGCGTGGGAGGTTGGGGAGAACAGAGGAGTCACTACTAAGCGGGTTTTCTGAGGGGGAAAAATAGCTTCTAAAATTAGACTCTAACAATGGTCGCACAACCCTATAAATAGAGTAAAAACACGGAATCACCTACTTTAAATAAGTGAATTTGTTTGCATACGCACTACGTCTCGGTAACTGTTTAAAAGTAAAAGAATACGTACGGCGGTGACACGAAACGGCGGGCTTCTCCTGCAATAAGAGAAAAAGAAACACCATGAGGATGACATCATGCTGGGTCCTGCTGGCACAGGTCTAATATTCACTTGGTGACGTTAGATAACCAGATGGCAGGCTGGGCGCGGTGGTTCACGCATGTAATCCAGCATGTGGGGAGGCTGAGGCGGGCAGATCATGAGGGCAAGAGGTTGAGGCCATCCTGGCCAACATGGTGAAACGCCGTCTGCGAGAACCTTCAGTCCCAGCTACTCGGGAGGCTGAAGCAGGAGAATTGCTTGAATGCAGTAGGAGGACGCTGCAGTGCTCTGAGATCACACCACTGCACTGTAGCCTGGAGACAGAAAGACTCTGTCTCAAAAACTAAACTAAACTAAACAAAAAACCAGATGTCAAAGAGTGTTGAAGTCACAGGCCCCAAATGGAGCACAGGGGGCGCTTGCAGAAAATGCAGTGGCTTTGGAATACTTAGCAGGTATCTATGCTGGCTGAAAAATACGAAATTGTATTTCAAGGAGAAAACGTTGCAACTGAGAAATATGCCCCAAACCAAATTGTTAGCTATGCCATCTTTTGATTGACATCGTCAATCAGGCCTCAGTTGGTGAGAAACTCCACTGACTGGTCGCCGGACTCCACGACACCTGAGGTCCGATTCACAATGGCAGTCAAAAAGGATATTCACTTGATATTCCAGAGGCCCCAGAAATGCATCTTACCTCGTCACGGGGTAGCTCCTCATCCTCGATGTCTTCTAATATGAGGTCCTGCAGGGACCTCAACGGGACCTAAGAGAACACAGAGTGACGGTCAGTGCATTGGTGCTGCTCAGGAATCTCACCAGGGGCTTTGGGAAATGTGGACCGGGCTGGAGGGTATGGAGCTGGGCGTTTGACAAGCACGGACCCAGCTGCTGCTGGACCATTCTCCTTGGTGCTGAAGGAAGGAAAAGGAGAGGGGCAGAAAGAAATGAAAGAGCCTGGCTTCCTAGACAGGGCAACCTCATCAACCTGAAATCATCATTTGAAGAACCGGTTAATACAGAAAGGCAGTGTAGTACAGAAAGAGGAAGTAGATTAGGGCTGCCTAGGACCAGGGGCGTGGGGGGTTGGGGAGAACAGAGGAGTCACTACTAAGCGGGTTTTCTGAGGGGGAAAAACAGCTTCTAAAATTAGACTCTAACAATGTAAAAACACGGAATCACCTACTTTAAATAAGTGAATTTGTTTGCATACGCACTACGTCTCGGTAACTGTTTAAAAGAAAAAGAATACGTACGGCGGTGACACGAAACGGCGGGCTTCTCCTGCAATAAGAGAAAAAGAAACACCATGAGGATGACATCATGCTGGGTCCCTGCTGGCACAGGTCTAATATTCACTTGGTGACGTTAGATAACCAGATGGCAGGCTGGGCGCGGTGGTTCACGCATGTAATCCAGCATGTGGGGAGGCTGAGGCGGGCAGATCATGAGGGCAAGAGGTTGAGGCCATCCTGGCCAACATGGTGAAACGCCGTCTGTACTAAAAACTACAAAAAACCCGGCGTGGTGGTGGCGAGAACCTTCAGTCCCAGCTACTCGGGAGGCTGAAGCAGGAGAATTGCTTGAATGCAGTAGGAGGACGCTGCAGTGCTCTGAGATCACACCACTGCACTGTAGCCTGGAGACAGAAAGACTCTGTCTAAACTAAACTAAACAAAAAACCAGATGTCAAAGAGTGTTGAAGTCACAGGCCCCAAATGGAGCACAGGGGGCGCTTGCAGAAAATGCAGTGGCTTTGGAATACTTAGCAGGTATCTATGCTGGCTGAAAAATACGAAATTGTATTTCAAGGAGAAAACGTTGCAACTGAGAAATATGCCCCAAACCAAATTGTTAGCTATGCCATCTTTTGATTGACATCGTCAATCAGGCCTCAGTTGGTGAGAAACTCCACTGACTGGTCGCCGGACTCCACGACACCTGAGGTCCGATTCACAATGGCAGTCAAAAAGGATATTCACTTGATATTCCAGAGGCCCCAGAAAGAAAAATTTCTCTTTGAGACAAAGAAATGCATCTTACCTCGTCACGGGGTAGCTCCTCATCCTCGATGTCTTCTAATATGAGGTCCTGCAGGGACCTCAACGGGACCTAAGAGAACACAGAGTGACGGTCAGTGCATTGGTGCTGCTCAGGAATCGACCGGGCTGGAGGGTATGGAGCTGGGCGTTTGACAAGCACGGACCCAGCTGCTGCTGGACCATTCTCCTTGGTGCTGAAGGAAGGAAAAGGAGAGGGGCAGAAAGAAATGAAAGAGCCTGGCTTCCTAGACAGGGCAACCTCATCAACGTGAAATCGTCATTTGAAGAACCGGTTAATACAGAAAGGCAGTGTAGTACAGAAAGAGGAAGTAGATTAGGGCTGCCTAGGACCAGGGGCGTGGGGGGTTGGGGAGAACAGAGGAGTCACTACTAAGCGGGTTTTCTGAGGGGGAAAAACAGCTTCTAAAATTAGACTCTAACAATGGTCGCACAACCCTATAAATAGAGTAAAAACACGGAATCACCTACTTTAAATAAGTGAATTTGTTTGCATACGCACTACGTCTCAGTAACTGTTTAAAAGTAAAAAGAATACGTACGGCGGTGACACGAAACGGCGGGCTTCTCCTGCAATAAGAGAAAAAGAAACAGGATGACATCATGCTGGGTCCTGCTGGCACAGGTCTAATATTCACTTGGTGACGTTAGATAACCAGATGGCAGGCTGGGCGCGGTGGTTCACGCATGTAATCCAGCATGTGGGGAGGCTGAGGCGGGCAGATCATGAGGGCAAGAGGTTGAGGCCATCCTGGCCAACATGGTGAAACGCCGTCTGTACTAAAAACTACAAAAAAACCCGGCGTGGTGGTGGCGAGAACCTTCAGTCCCAGCTACTCGGGAGGCTGAAGCAGGAGAATTGCTTGAATGCAGTAGGAGGACGCTGCAGTGCTCTGAGATCACACCACTGCACTGTAGCCTGGAGACAGAAAGACTCTGTCTCAAAAACTAAACTAAACTAAACAAAAAACCAGATGTCAAAGAGTGTTGAAGTCACAGGCCCCAAATGGAGCACAGGGGGCGCTTGCAGAAAATGCAGTGGCTTTGGAATACTTAGCAGGTATCTATGCTGGCTGAAAAATACGAAATTGTATTTCAAGGAGAAAACTAAACAAAAAAACCAGATGTCAAAGAGTGTTGAAGTCACAGGCCCCAAATGGAGCACAGGGGGTGCTTGCAGAAAATGCAGTGGCTTTGGAATACTTAGCAGGTATCTATGCTGGCTGAAAAATACGAAATTGTATTTCAAGGAGAAAACGTTGCAACTGAGAAATATTGCCCCAAACCAAATTGTTAGCTATGCCATCTTTTGATTGACATCGGCAATCAGGCCTCAGTTGAGTGAGAAACTCCAATGACTGGTCGCCGGACTCCAAGACACGTGAGGTCCGCATTCACGATGGCAGTCTAAAAAGGAGAGTCAATTGATATGCCAGAGGCCCAGAAAGAAAAAATTCTCTTTGCAGACAAAGAAATGCATCATTACCCTCGTCACGGGGGTTAGCTCCTCATCCTCGATGTCTTCTAATATGAGGTCCTGCAGCGACCTCAACGGGGGACTTAAGAGAACAACAGAGTGACGGTCAGGCATGGTGCTGCTCAGGAAATATCAACCGGGGCTTTGGGAAATGTTGGACCGGACTGGAGGGTATGGAGATGGAGAGTTGACAAGCCCGGACCCCCCCAAAGCTGTTCATGCGACCATTCTCCTTGGGGCTGCGAGGAAGGGAAAAGGAGAGGGGGCAGACAGAAAGAAATGAAAGAAGCCTGGCTTCCTAGGACAGGGCCAAACCTCATCAACGTGAAATCGTCATTTGAAGAAACGGTTAATAAAAGAAAGGCAGTGTAGTACAGTAAAGAGGAAGTAGAGTAGAGTAGGGCTGCCTAGGACCAGGGGCGAGTGGGAGGTTGGGGAGAACAGAGGGTCATACTAAGCGGGGTTTCGGAGGGGGGAAAAAAGCTTCTAAAAGCTAGACACTCTAACAATGGTAGCACAACCATATAAATAGAGTTAAAACAAACGGGAAAATCACCTCTTTAAATAAGTGAATTGTTTGGCATAAGCACTACGTCTCAAGTAAACTGTGTAAAAGTTAAAAGAAAGAGTACGGCCCGGGTGGTTGACACGAACGGCGGGGGTTATGCCCTGACAATTAAGAGAAAAAGAAACACCATCGAGGATGACATCATGCTGGGTCCCGATGGCCACAGGTCTAATATTCACTTGGTGACGTTAAGTATCCAGATGGCAGGCTGGGTGCGGGTGGTTTCACGCATGTAAGCCAGATCGTGGGGAGGCTGCGGACGGGCAGCATCATCGAGAGGCCAAGAGGGCGCTTGCAGAAATGCAGTGGCTTTGGAATACTTAGCAGGTATCTATGCTGGCTGAAAAATACGAAATTGTATTTCAAGGAGAAAACGTTGCAACTGAGAAATATGCCCCAAACCAAATTGTTAGCTATGCCATCTTTTGATTGACATCGTCAATCAGGCCTCAGTTGGTGAGAAACTCCACTGACTGGTCGCCGGACTCCACGACACCTGAGGTCCGATTCACAATGGCAGTCAAAAAGGATATTCACTTGATATTCCAGAGGCCCCACCCAGAAAGAAAAATTTCTCTTTCAGACAAAGAAATGCATCTTACCTCGTCACGGGGTAGCTCCTCATCCTCGATGTCTTCTAATATGAGGTCATGCGGGATTTCAACGGGACCTAAGAGAACACAGAGTGACGGTCAGTGCATTGGTGCTGCTCAGGAATCTCACCAGGGGCTTTCGGAAATGTGGACCGGGCTGGAGACTATGGAGCTGGGCGTTTGACAAGCACGGACCCAGCTGCTGCTGGACCATTCTCCTTGGTGCTGAAGGAAGGAAAAGGAGAGGGGCAGAAAGAAATGAAAGAGCCTGGCTTCCTAGACAGGGCAACCTCATCAACGTGAAATCGTCATTTGAAGAACCGGTTAATACAGAAAGGCAGTGTAGTACAGAAAGAGGAAGTAGATTAGGGCTGCCTAGGACCAGTGGCGTGGGGGGCTTGGGGAGAACAGAGGAGTCACTACTAAGCAGGTTTTCTGAGGGGGAAAAACAGCTTCTAAAATTAGACTCAATGGTTGCACAACCCTATAAATAGAGTAAAAACACGGAATCACCTACTTTAAATAAGTGAATTTGTTTGCATACGCACTACGTCTCAGTAACTGTTTAAAAGAAAAAGCATACGTACGGCGGTAACACCAAACGGTGGGCTTCTTCTGCAATAAGAGAAAAAGAAACACCATGAGGATGACATCATTCTGGGTCCTGCTGGCACAGGTCTAATATTCACTTGGTGACGTTAGATAACCAGATGGCAGGCTGGGCACGGTGGTTCACTCATGTAATCCAGCATGTGGCGAGGCTGAGGCAGGCAGATCATGAGGGCAAGAGGTTGAGGCCATCCTGGCCAACATGCTGAAACCCTGTCTGTACTGAAAACTTCAAAAAACCCGGCATGGTGAAACGCCATCTCTACTACAAACTACAAGAATCCCAGCATGGTGGTTGTGAGAACCTTCAGTCCCAGCTACTCGGGAGGCTGAGGCAGGAGAATTGCTTGAAAGCAGTAGGAGGACGCTGCAGTGCTCTGAGATCACACCACTGCACTGTAGCCTGGTGACAGAGAGACTCTGTCTCTAAAACAAAACTAAACTAAGCAAAAAACCAAATGTCAAACAGTGATGAAGTCACAGGCCCCAAATAGAGCACGGGATGCTTGCAGAAAATGCAGTGGGTTTGGAATACTTAGCAGGTATCTATGCTGGCTGAAAAGTACAAAATTATCTTTCAAGGAGAAAATGTGGCTACTGAGAAACATGCACAAGACCAGATTCTGAGTTATGCCATCTTTTGACTGACATCGTCAATCAGGCCTCAGTGTGGTCAGAATCTCCACTGACTGGTCGCTAGAGTTCATGACGACTGAGGTCTGATTCACAATGGCAGTCGAAAATAATCTTCACTTGATATTCCAGAGGCCCCAGAAATAAAAATTTCTCTTTGAGACAAAGAAATGCATCTCACCACATCACGGGGTGGCTCATCATCCTTGATGTGTTCCAGGCTGAGGTCTTGTGGGACCTGAACAGCACCTAAGAGAACACGAAGTGACAGTCAGTGCATTGGTGCTGCTGAGGAATCTCACAAGGAGCTTTGGGAAATGTGGACCAGGGTGGAGTGCATGGAGCTGGGCGTTTGACAAGCATGGACCCAGCTGCTGCTGGACCATTTTCCTTGGTGCTGAAGGAAAAAAAAGGAAAGGGGCAGAAAGAAATGAAAGAGCCTTGGCTTCCTAGCTGGGGCAGCCTCATCAACGTGAAATCGTCATTTGAAGAACCGATTAATACAGAAAGGCAGTGTACTACAGAAACAGGAAGAAGATTAGGGCTGCCTAGAACCAGCGGTGTGGGGGGTTGGGAAAAGCAGAGGAGTCACTACTAAGGGGGTTTTCTGAGGGGGGAAAAAAGCTTCTAAAATTAGACTCTAACAATGGTTGCACAACCCCGTAAATAGAGTGAAAACACTGAATCACCTAATTTAAATGGGTGAGTTAGTTTACGTCTCGGTAACTGTTTAAAAGGAAAAGAATACGTACGGTGGCAATACTGGGTGACATGTTTCTCCTGCAATAAGAGAAAAAGAAACATCATGAGGATTACATCATGCTGGGTCCCATTGGCACAGGTCTTGTATTCACTTGTGACATTAGGAAACCAGATGGCAGACTGGGCACGGTGGCTCACACATGTAATCCCAGCATGTTGGGAGGCTGAGGCGGGCAGATCATGAGGGCAAGAGATTGAGACCATCCTGGCCAACATGGTGAAACCCCGTCTCTACTAAAAACAAGAAACCCGGCATGGTGGTGGTGAGAACCTTCAGTCCCAGCTACTCGGGAGGCTGAGGCAGGAGAATTGCTTGAATGCAGTAGGAGGACGCTGCAGTGATCTGAGATCACACCACTGCACTGTAGCCTGGTGGCAGAGAGACTGTGTCTCAAAAACAAAACTAAACTAAACCAAAAACCAGATGTCAGTGATGAAGTCACCAAATGGAGAACAGGGGATGCTTGCAGAAAATGCAGTGGGTTTGGAATACTTAGCAAGTATCTATGCTGGCTGAAAAATACAAAATTATTTTTCAGGAAGAATATGTTGCTACTGAGAAATACGCTCACTACTAGTTTTTCAGTGATGTCATCTTCTGACTGACATCATCAATCAGGCTTCAGTTTGTCATACATTCCAGTGACTGGTAGCTAGAGTCCATGACAGCTGAGGCCTGATTCACAATGGCAGTCAGAAATGATACTCACTTGATATTCTAGAAGCCCCCAAAAAAGACATTTGTCTTCAAGACAAAGAAATGCATCTTACTATGTCAGGTGATGTCTCTTTAAGGTTTTCACGTCTCTTTAAGGTTTTCTTCTGGTCTTGAAGAGGAGCTAGGAGAACACAGAGAGACAGTAAGTACACTGGTGATGCTGAGGAATCCCACAAGAAGTTTTGGGGGATGTGGACAGAAGCTGCAGTGTATGGATGGGGGCTGTTGAAGCATGAACTGAGCTGCCGCTCGGCCACTCTCCTTGGTGCTGAAGGAAGGCAAAGGAGAGGGGAAGAAAGAAATGAAAGAGCCTTGGCTTTCTAGCTCGGGAAACCTCATCAGTGTGAAATAGTCTGCAAACCGGTTAATACAGAACGGCACTGTATGGCTCAGTGAGAGCATCTCATCACACCTGCTGCCCACGTGAAGGTCTAGGCAAATCCCAACATTTTATGAAATGTTACAGGATTATTTAACTTCTGTGGATCTACATATCCTGCTGCTACATTTATCATCTGTCCTGTTGTATTTTTTAAATTTTAAAAGCTTACATATTTATTATTTTAATTATTAAGTGTGCATTCCAATGATATTATATTTAGTGAGTAACATTCATGATGCTGTGTCAAAAATGAGAAAAATCAAATCTAAATTCATAATCTAGCTTCCGCCTTGGGCATTGAAAGAAAAACAGCAGTATAATCTCGAATTGAGGAAAAATAAATAACGACTGCAGAAATTAATGGAATAAAAACAGGAAATCATCAGAGAAAATCAACAACAACAAAACCAGTTCTTTGAAAAGATCAATAACGCTGATAAACCTCTACCTTTTCTAACCTCAAAGGAAAAGAAGGAAGTCACGATGTACTAATAATATCAGTTCAAGACGAGTTGAATCAAAAAATAATAATAAAGGAATGTTGTGAACACATCTGTGCTCACACTTGGAAACATTATATGAAATGAGCTAACTTTTTGGATCTGTTTCAGAAGGTTAAACGTCTTCTCATGATAAATGAATCATCTGAATAGGCCTATATTTATATTAGAAATTGAATCAATAATTAGTATCTTCTCAAAAGAACAAAAACACTACCTTCAGATGATTTCACCGGTAAATTCTACCAAAATTTTTACAAAGAAACGTGGTCTTACCGTACGAGCAAGTAACCATAATTTTAGTATTTCCTTACATTTTAAAATTGTGTTTCCAAACAAGACACAAGAAGGTTTGTAATTTCTGTATTCATAATTGCCCAAACTGAAAGCAAATGTCTAAACATTTGAGATGTCCTTTACTATCAAAAGCGAACCAAGCCTGAGCAACACTGTGAAACCCCGTCTCTACAAAAAAAAAAAATAAAATTTAAAAAAAGAGCTTGGTATAAAGCATGTGCATTATAGCCATCTGCTTGGGAGGCTGAGGTAGAAGGATCATCTGAACACGGGGAGGTCAAGATTGCAATGAGCTGTGATTGCACCAGTGCACTCCTGGGTGAGAAAATGAGACCTTTTCACAAAAACAAAGAAACAAAAAGAACCAAACTCTAAGTTGCCAATGTAACTTTACTTGTGTAGTTGCATCACCCATTAATTTAATGCATTTAAATGGGCACAAATGAAATAAATGAAGAACATCACATAGCATTTACTGAGTTTCTCTGGGACACTGGATGAGTAAACTGGAATTGTTTGCTTCAATCAACTTAATGATATAATTTCCACCCACCCTACCTTCATTTGCAGTCGGGCAAATTTTTTTACGCCTCCGTTTTTGTACCCAGCTCCTCACGCGGCCAGCCAAACCTGCAAGGTAGAAATGTATTATAATAAAGACAACTCTTGACATCTTGCTGAAATTAGTAAAAACTTATTCAGTTTAAACTTTTGATCCTAGTTTTCACCGACTACTTTTCAATGCTACCTGAATTAGATCTGGGATCTAGGAAGATTTGTTTGTCCAGGCAGATACATTTATTCAGATGAGACAATATAGAAAAGCAGAAGATCCAAGTTACCAAGAATAGGCTGGGTTCAAATCCTACTTAGAATCTGCACATACCTGGGAGAGGGATATGAACCCATCTGTGCCTCTCTTCCCTATTCTGAGATGTAAAAACGTTAGTAGATCTATGCTATAGACCTACTAAGGTCTATAGCACCTAAAAGAATGAAATGCAGATAAAGACTTAAAAAGACTCTTTTCTTTTTGTAAATGCCCTAAAATGTTCAATCATTCAATGTCGAGAAGGATAATCCAGATACATGGTAGTGGTTGAATACAGAGAGGAAGCCTGCATGTCTCCTGTGCAAAGTAGGATGGAAAGTGATGTCACAGTTTCCATGGCCACATGATTTCCAGCTCATGACAGAGATCTGTGATTTCCCTGATCCCCACATCAGCCCCAAGGGACAGGCAGGGAAGGGGCTACAACCCATATTTTCCAATTCAGTGAAATAAGACTCAGACATTTTGAGTGACTTGCCCAGTGTCACCGCAGTGAGGAGTGATAGATCTGAGGTAATAATGTAGTTGGTTCCCCGGGGATAGAGATCCTGGAACACCTGAGTCCTCTAGATCATGCCCTGAACCCTGGACTGAGAGCTCTTCTCACAAGCTTTGTCAAATCCTGCTACCCCAACATTTCTGTGGGATGGTTGAAGCTCTGGAGAGGTGGCAGGTGGCTTAACGCATTTACTGACCTACTGTATTATCCCCATGTTGTCACTTTTTATTAGTTTGATGACCCATAAGGCAAACATTTTAAGTCTCTCAGTTATGCATGATCAGAGATTTTACCTAAGCCCACTCTTTCTACCCATCAGGTGATTCTCATCTGCTGGGCTAGAGCTGGCCTGATGTAAAAAATAACACACGGCATACCATGGAGCTGCTGCGTGCCCCACTCCGGTGAACATGGCATACTATGGAGCTGCTGCGTGCCACGCTCCTGTGAACATGGCATACTATGGAGCTGCTGCGAGCCACGCTCCTGTGCACGTGGCATACCACAGGGCTGCTCCATACCCCAATCCTGGGCACATTCTTGCCTTGCTTCTGCTTTCCCAGCTCTGACAATCCTAATTCTGGCTTCCAAACCAATCCTGTATGTCCCTCTCAGTTCTCAGACTTGCCTCAACTGTTGGATATTTTAATCACTGTTGTAGTGACCATGACTGAACTGTGACATTTCATATACCATACTATATGTTTATCTTTTTATATATTTCTAATAAAATTTAACTTATTTTTTTCAGACTTTTTAGGAACGTTTCTGGGCTAGGTGTGCTGGCCCATGGCTATAATCCTGACATTTTTAGAGGCTGAGGCAGGAGAATTAGCTTAAGGTCAGAAGTTTAAGACCAACCTGGGCAACACAGTGAGACGTCAATTCTACAAAAAGCTTCTAAATGTCATAGGATGTGGTGGTGAGCCCTTGTATCCCTAGCTACATGGAAGCCTGTTGTGGGAAGATCATTTGAGCCTAGAAGATTGAGGCTGCAGTGAGCTATGATCACGCCACTGTACTCCAGCCGGGGTAACAAAGCAAGACCCTGTCTCTTCAAAATAAAAAGCATTACTGTGTTACACGTATCCCCATTTTGTTTCTCATTATCTAATATTGCTGTTTTCATCCTGAGGCTTGATTGCTTTAGTAAGCTTTAGAAAGTTTTTTAGACAAGGTAGTATTTATAGCAGGCCATATGCATGCCTTTTTATAGATTCTAGTTTATATGCCATATATCTAGAATTTACATTCCTGATCTACTCCGTCTTCTTCTTAGAACCAGCCTCCTCATATGTAACACAAGTATAATTCCCATATTACACCTAACTCAAAACATTGAGAGGATAGAATAAAATCAAAGAGCAGTCTGTATACTACACAAGGCACAATAGATTACAAACCAAAGCTTTCTCTAACTCAAAGGCGAAAAGTGCACACTTAACATCCTTTGCAGAACCCATAGCAAAATAATATTTTGAGAAACTATGCACTTTGGCTACCCAGTGAAATTAGGAGAAAACTGTCACAGGTCATCAAGACTTCCCCAACGTTATCTTTTATTTTTAAATAATGAAATACCATTATTTCTCCTGCTATCTTTCATGTATATTACTGCACATTCTCCTTTTGGCTTTTCTGAGTACCCTATTCTTGGGAATCACTCCACAGCAATAAAAAGACATCTTACTCTTTTTCACAGCTTCATACTTCTCCTTTATGTACAAGTACCAGCTTATTTTACTAGTCCCTTACTAGGCATGCCAGTTATATTTCCAATATTTAACTATTGAAAATAATGCAACAAGAACTCTGCAAATAGTTTGTTTTATATTTACGGAGCATAACTTCAGGATAAAATTCCTCAAAGTAGGATGTCTGGTTCAAATGCATTTTCACGGTTGTGAGATTGTGCCAAATTCCCCTTCATGGAGTTGAGTCTTTTTGCATTTCTACCAGCAATACATGAATGCAACTTTCCTCACAGCCACACCAAGGAACGTTCTGCCATGGTTTTGGGATTTCCCTCAATAGGAGAGACCCTGCAGTAGAGCTGTCATTTGCCTTTCTTTTATGAGTGAAGATGTGTTTAAAAATCACCTGTATTTCTTTTTCTGTGACTTGTCTATTTACCACTTTATTATCCACTTTTAGTTTCACTTGATTTTTCTCAAGTCCGCCTCTTTCAGGTCATTGTTTTTCTCTTCACTGTCGGCTCTCACCTGAACCAAACCACTCCACCAGTCTCCTAGCTGCTCTTCCTGCTTCCACCCTTGCCTGTATTACAGCATATTCACAGAGCTGCTGCTCAGTCTTTTTCTTAGAGAATTAACAGTAATCCTGGGCTATAATCCTCCAGTGGTTTTCCATCTCAACTGAAGTCCATCTTTTCTGTGAGTGTTCACTACATGTACAAGGTCTTCACCCACCTTATTCATCCCAGCATCCTTTTACTCTGCTGCAGCTGCCCTTGTGGCTTTCCCTCCTTTGCCTAAAACTTTGTTTCAAAAGTTTCAAATCAAACTTTGTTTCCATTTCAGGAATTCCAAAGCGGATATCCCTCTCTGGAAGCCCTCTCCCACCATCCTCACAGGGTTCCCCTCACTTTTTTATTTTTAAAACTAAATAAGATGGGGTGTCTCTGTGTTGGCCAGGCTGGTCTTAAACTTCCAGCCTCAAGGAATCCCCTCATCCTGGCTTTCCAAAGTACTGGGATTAAAGGTGGGGGCAACTATATATACCCAGCTCATTTCACTTTTAAGACTGTTCACATGTCACTTAAAGAGAACATCCTGCTCTTAGCGCCAACCCTCCATCAAACTGCCCTCCTCTTTAATCCATCACCCTGCTTTACTTTCTTCCCAGCACGTCACCACCTGCCATTCTTGACTATTCATGTGCTGGCTGCCCTTACTTCCCTATCGAATGTAAGGGTCAGACTTAGAATGGGGCTCTCTGTTGTGTTCCACTGTTGGCCCTGCATCTGCAACACTGCCAGGCCATTTGAAACTGCTCGATACATATATTTCATTTTACCCCAAACTAGTTAAGTTTCTCCCAATTCTCCCAGATCTGCTAAAGTTTTCTTTTGTTTTATCATCTAAGACAGCATCGGATTTTTAAAACTGGTAGCTATTTAGCATTAAAGACACACGCTATCAAGATCCACAAAAATATAAATGAAGAATGTTAATGTCTAAAAGTCAATGGTAACTGCAATTTGACACAAGTATATTTAACACTAAAATACCTTAAATACAAAGTGACTCATTTCATCCATTTAATTATGTCACTAGAAAAAATATATTATCTGAATTTTATAACGAGATATCACACCTGTCATCAAAATGTGCTTTATGTGTGTTCTGAATCAAACATGACAGGACTGTTTCTGACTTTACGAAAAAACACGGCCAATCGCAAGGGGTAGGTAAATAAATAGTGCTTTAACCAGTCCGTAGTACACTAAGCAGTTATTCAAAGTCATCAGGTAGAGCAGGGTGCCCTGGCAGGCAAAGACATCCTGGAGTGCTCTCTGGGTGTCAAGTACTGTTTGAGAAACTTACGCCATTATCTCACTGCTTTAAGTAAAAGTTACAAGGCAGCACATATAAAATAATCAGAAAGTTTTATTTTACAAAAAAGTTTGTGAAATAAAATATTATATTCAAATGCATAGCAATAATTTCCAGAAAAACAGTGCTCAAACTGTAACACAAGTGATCTATGGGTATTCTGAGTGTAATAAATAACTTTTCTTTATTTTCTACATCTTTTACATGAAACATACTGATAGTTATTTTAAAAGGAGGGTTCAAAATGGGTACTAGAAAGCTGAAAGACCTGCTGCTCAGAGGTCTCTACATCATATGCCCATGCTTTCCCTTCCCTGACCCCTCACTTGAGAGAGCCAACAAACCAGCAGCATTCCTATGGTAAGAACACAAAAGGCTGCATGAAAAGTCGATGGGTAGTGATAAAACTGAATAATGAGCTCCTACTATCTTAATCTGTTACTTATATTACCCCCAGTCATATTAGATATACTGCTAAATAAAGGCATGATAGGACAAAACATGTTTGAGTCTGAGATCTAAACTGGGTTCTTAGAGCTTCTCTTTGAAATGGCTTCAAGACACAATGTTCTTTTGAAGTATTTCAGAAGAGAACAATGAAGCAGAGCATTATTTATGGCATAAGTTCCTGAAACAGGACTTGCCACCTAGAGAGCACTCCAGGATGTCTTTCTACAGCAGTGCGCCCTGCTCTGCCTGATGCCTTTAAATAACTGCTTAGTGTGCCACAGAATGGTTGGAGCACTGGTTGCTGTGATATTTGTCTAAGTTACCAAAAGAAATCAATCGTCATTATAGAAAGGCTAAAATGTTTCACATCTAAGTAGGAATTTATCATTTTCCAAAAAACGTGATACACAATTTTCTGAAATGAAGATATTAACAAACTTTGAATGTGTCTATACTTTATATTGAGTGTTCTGAACATGTTTCTTTCATTTTATTTTCCCAGCCAGGCTGGAGTGTACTGGCGGGATCTCGGCTCACTGCAACCTGCAACTCCCGGATTCAAGTGATTCTCCTGCCTCAGCGTCCCAGGTAGCTGGGATTACAGGTATGTGCCACCATGCCTGGCTAAGTTTTTGTATACTTAGTAGAGAAGGGGTTGCATCATGTTGGCCAGGCTGGTCCCAAACTCCTGACCTCAGGTAATCTGCCCACCTCGGCCTCCCAAAATGCTGAGATTACAGGCATGAGCCACTGTGCCTGGCCAAAGAATGAACACTGAAATTGAGGTTTCTGTTATCCCTTTACTGAATACCACAAAAACACGTTTGAAGAGACATATAGAAACTTACTGTCATGCACATACACATAAGATGGTAAATTCTGTGCTCACAAACTATTTTTTCTTCAACTGCTCTGACTTAACATTTCTTACTCGGGGCCTTGCTTGCCCTCCTGCCAGCTTCTCCTTTCTCCTGACCAGGGCATTCTCAGCTTCAAATCAGTTAGCAGATGAAACTCTTCCACATTTATTAAACTGTTGATTTGACTGGTAAATGCAGGCCATTTTGTTACCCCTACTTTTATCCTTATCTATTTCAATAAATGTATGGACAGAAGGTAGAGCCAGGAGAGATGGCACATGCCTGTATTGTCAGCTTTCCTACAGGCTGAGGCAGCAGGAGTGCTTGAGCCCAGGCCAGGAGTCAGAAGCCTGGGCTCTGCCCACAGTGAGGACCCATCTCTTTAGGAGGAAAAACGGAGAGGTAAATGTGTAAAATAAAATGCAAAAAGAACTAATCAAGATGAAAGTTCTAAGAGAGGTCTATGTTATGGGTAGACCTTAAAATATAAGACATTCTGGAGTCTGTCAAGTTCTTTAAGAACTGAGTTTGGCATCACTACGACCTCCAATGTCTACTTTGATGACTTAGAACCTCAGTCCTGTTCAGCAGCCGTCTCACACAGTCCCTTCAGATCTCTAAGCCTTCCCTTCTGCATCAGCAACATAGCTAGAATATACACAGGCCTTATTTGTATTTGGAAGATTCCAGTAAGATGTACAGGAAAACATGTTTTACATCCTAAAGAATAAGGAAAAGGCTCACTTTGTTCTCTCACTACCTCATCTGCCAAATCAGACAGAATATCACACAGAGGCTTGCCATACACCACCAAGCAAGGAGTTTCCACAGGTACTTGCATGCTTTGTGTATAAGGTGTACAATCTATTAAGTCTCATAATTATTTATTCTTTCACAATTTTTCAATACTCTAAAAAGGGAGTACAGCACTTCCTTGTTACAAAGGCACACCCATCATGAGGCTTAATTATTCTGTGAAAGAAGGTAAGAGCCAAACTGAAGTTTAAACACAAGACCTGTAAGACATTTTCTCCATACTAATAAAATCTCTGCCATTAAAATGAAAGAAATGAGCTGATCATATTTCTATGTCTTTATGATATAATGTTTTCTATTTCAGTGGACTTAGTCTTTGTTCAAGGAACTGGTTACCCAGAATTATCTGTTGCTAGATTCATCTATTTCTAAAATCCTAAAGGATTTTAGACTGAAGGCTGCTGGCCCTGGTTGATGCCTGTCACCCAAAAAGCCTATGTCACCTGGTTAGCAGGAAACAACCAAGTCAGGCTACTGGCTCACAATGCCCTGCCCCAGAGCCCCACCCAATGGCTCACAATGCCCTGCCCCAGAGCCCCACCCAATGGCTCACAGTGCCCTGCCCCAGAGCCCCACCCAATGGCTCACAATGCCCATCCCTGCTGCTGCCCACCTGTGGTCACCATTTCCCCCATGTGACTGCATTATTCATCCTGGGCTGCCTGAGCTTTCCAATCATGAGAAAAGTTTGTGGAGGGAAGGGTGGTTGTTATTGGAAGTCACCCTGGGCACTGAACTCAGTAGAAAACCTTGATTACTAATGTCAGTTCCATTAGCATCTCTGGTTTTCTGAGTCTGGGAGCTTTCATTTGCTCAAAAATGTAGTGATACACAAATGTTTGACTGATTTTGTAACTAAATGCTCCTCTCCCATCTTACAAGTGTTAGTTTTTGTCTTCAATTTGACCACAGCAAAAAAATGAAATGCTTCCTCTCTCCTCCCCTTTCCCATCCTGTAGGAAGGGGAGCCATGAAAACAAACTCTTTTCCACCGGCAGTGTCTGGCCTTCTAACTCTCAAGTCTTTACCTTACAAATTCAAGTCAAAAGTCATTTCATCTCTTTTGGAACCTGTAACCATGAGCTAGCTCTACCTGTCTTTCAGAAGGTAAGGAGGTAAAGCCCATGAAGTTACTGGAGTAGTGCCGAAGAGACATTCACGTCAAAGTGGGAATTTTTAAGTAATCAGAGCTCCAGGGCTAAACTTTGGGTAAAACCACAGCAAAAACAACTTTTCTACAGCTCTGGCAGTAACATTTCATATCTTTTGCTGTCATTTTAAGCATGTCCCTCAATTTTTCCTTTGGTTTTCAAATTACAATTGGAAGAAGTAAAGCTGCTTCTGTCAAGGTGACTTCAAACCATCTCTTAAGAACACCATATAATCTCTTCCATAGCTCTATTTTAAATTTAAGAACTTTCCAAATATTTGAGTCTGAATTTTCCCAATTATTAGCTTCCTTATCGAATAGGAGAAAAGAAATGATTGGGCCTTTAACCGGCTCCTTCACTGAGGTACCATAGTAGCTGGATAGGTAAGGCTAGAAATGGGATGGAGACTCCAAAACTGGAGTATCTGAATTTTCACTGGGGAAAGGGAAAGACTAGACCCAAAATGCCTCAAGCAAGAAGGCTCAACAACAAAGACAAGAGGCGGGACTAGCCTTTGTCCCCCATGCCCAGCCCTGGGAAAGCTGGCTATAGGCAGGAGGGAGCTGAGAGCTGAGGATGTCTCTGGGGTGAGGGGATGGGAAGGAGGTGGGGGAGGTGGTGGCCAGAAAGAAAATGGCACCTGTGGCTTCCTTACCTTTGCGCCGCTTTGACTTGGGCTGCACATGCTGGACCTCCACCACTCCGGCATATACAAAGTCAGGCTCTGCAGTCGTGGATTCTGGTGGTGTAGCTGCCACAGACTGAGTCCCACAACATGACGCCACTGCCTCCCGGCACCAGGCACAAATGAGGCCAGCCCTGGGGCCTAGGAAGTTCCCCATAGTGACCTATAAGGGGACTTTCAAAACAAAGCAATGCACAAAATCAGAAAAAGAAAAAACAAAAAAGAACAATGAGAACACGTGGACACAGGGAGGGGAGCACTACACACTGGGGTCTATTGTGGGGAAATAGGGGAAGGACAGCAGGGGGTGGGGAGTTGGAAAAAGATAGCATGGGGAGAAATGCCAGATATAGGTGATGGGGAGGAAGACAGCACATCACACTGCCATGTGTGTACCTATGCAACAATCTCCTCCTCCTCCCACTACCAGCTTCTGACTGAAGGCTGCTGGCCCTGGCTGATGCCTGTTACCCACAAAGCCTCCTATGTCACCTGGTTACCAGGAAACAACAAAGTCAGGCCAGTGGTTCACAATGCCACTTCCCACAACCCCACCCAAAGGCTCACAATGCCCATCCCTGCTGCTGGCCACCCTGCCCCTCTTGGTGACTGCATTATTCATCCTGAGTGGCCTGAGATACTCCATTTTTCACCATAGGCCTCAGAAAACCCAGAAATGTCCCTTCATAGATTCTATATAGAGAGTGTATCCTAACCTGTGAATAAAAACAAAGGTTTCATTCTGCATGATAAATCCACAAACACAAAGCATTTTCACAGAATCCTTTGCGGCCCACCTCTCACCTTCAGCTTCCTGTTCTTGGTTATTTGGGCTTCAGTCTTGTATGCTCTGTCAGGTTCTAGGCCTTGTAAGGGTGAGTTCCATGTCTCCACTCATTTATATGTGCCCAGGACAGTTGGCTCTTGGGAGGGTCTTCACGACTGAGGCCATGGATCCTTCGCACTGTTCCTTGAATCCACTTGACACAAAATACTCATCCTGCAGTGATGCTTTGAAAGTGATGCTTTCATTCAATTAGGGGCCAGCTGTATTACGGATCCCTAGCACCCAATACATGGCATATGAGAAATGAATGAAAAATAAGTGAATGAACTCAAGTGTGCCTACAAGGTGAGAGAAAATGGTCCTACTTACTAGGTGTGCTACGAAGGCATCTGGGACCATTGGCTTTGCTATTTCATAGTAGGCCTGGGTGGGGCTTTGAAGGCTGGTATTTCCTCATTCTAAACCTCAAATTCCAATAAATTACCACCAAGTGGACAAAAGTCCATGGGCCAGAGCTCTTGGTGTGAACAACATACCTTTTGTGGGTGTGATTAATGGGCAGGGACTATACAAAACTAAAAACAATGTTTGTGTGCTGACTACCTGCAAGCCATGGTGATAAAACACTCTGCATACACGATCTTATTCAATGCTTGTTACAAATCCACGAAGTGAATTTTTATGCAAACTTTCTATTCGAGCTTTTTGGAACAAGAGGCTAGTGTGGTGACTTTCACCTACTCGGCAGCAGATTTAGATACTTGTTATCTGATGGCCAATCTCGTTACATGTATACTCCTACATGCTTCTCCTCTCCCTCTCATGATTTTATAGCAAATCCCACACATCATATAATTTCCTCCCTGACTCTCTTGGTATATGTCTGTAAAAGATACGATTCTTGTTTGTTCTTTCAAGATAAGGTCTCTGTCAACCAGGCTGGAGTTCAGTGGCATGATCTTGGTTCACTGTGGCCTCTCCTGCCTCAGCTTCCTGAGTAGCTGCAACTACAGACTCACACCACCATGCCAAGCTAATTTTTTAATTTGTATTTTAGTAGAGACAGGGTCTTGCTATGTTGCCCAGGCTGGCCTAGAATTCCTGGATTCAAAGGATCTTCCCATCTTGACCTCCGACACTACTGAGATTATAGGTGTGAAGCGCCATGCCTGGAGACAAGAACTCTTTAAAAAATATAATAATCCCAATACCATCATCAACCAACCATCTCACACCATTGCTCTTTATCACTGTCAACTCTCCTTCTAGCTCCAAATTTCCAGTCATTTCATGTATTTATTGTGTGAATCAGGATCCAAATAAAGTCTCTCCTTGGGATTGTTTGATTCACCTCTTAGGGTTTTCTTGATCCTGACAACTTCCCACTTTGATCTCTGTGCTGTCCCTTGCAGTCCATTTATTGAATAAATCAGGTCATAGTTTGGATTATGCTAAATGTGTTCTTATTATGCTGTTTCTCAGACTGTGAATTTTGCTAATTGTATCTTGTGATGTTGGTTAACTTGCTCTTCACTTTGTTCTAGCTTTGATAAATTAGTAGTTTGATCTAAAGACGTGGTGAGATTCAGGTTGGACTTGAGGGTCAGGGCAAAGACTGTGCTAGTTTCTTCTGGGAGGAGTTGTGTAGTTTCTGGACATCTTTTTTTTTTAATTGGTGATGTTAATGGCCATTGATCAATTATGGATTGAACAATGAAGGTATTGTTGTATCATTCCTTCTTCATTTATGAGCTGCCATACTTCCAGAAAGAGATACTGCTACCTGAAGGGCCTTGCATGAAGAAAAAAATGAAGCAGATGTAAAAAAGAGATGCTGCTTCTAATAAACTGTGTTACTCACTTGTACAACTTATATAGAAAATGCCAGTTCATGGCTTGATTTCTTCTGCTTAACCATTTTTCAAAATGAATGGGCTGTTTCATTTATATCCTTCAATGGTGACCACTTGTATTTATTTATAGACAGGGAGGGTCTAGCTCTGTTGCCCGGGCTGGTATGCAGAGAAGCAGTCATGCCACTATAGCCTCAAACTTCTAGGCTCAGGTGACCCTCCCATCTCAGCTTTCTGAGTAGCTGGGACCAAAGACACATGCCCTCATACTTGAGTAATTTAAAAAATGTTTTGTAGAGACAGAGTCCCCCTATGTTGCACAGGCTGGTCTTAAACTGCTGGATGAAGTGATCCTCCTAACTCAGCCTCCTGGAGTGTTGAAATTACAGGCATGAGGAACTGTGCCAGTCCACTTTTATTTTTTCAAAAGGATCATTATGAATGCAGATATTCAAACATATCTGATATATCTCAATTCACTGCAACTATTATCCTTATTAATGTATAAAATGTCCTATCTTTGGTTAGGAGTCCCTTCAGATTGGCCCTTCAGACATGTTGAAATCATCCTAATAATCTTTGATGGATTCTTTGCTATCTGGAGTGACAATATGTTCCAGGCTCCTTACACATTTCTGGCCTAGACCTAAAATCAGCACTTTCTCCAAGAAGGCTTCTTTTCTTTCATTGGGCAATGGTATTTTGAGACTATATTGAGACTACAATCTTGGTGCTGGGGTAAATAGTATAATTTTACAACTTAGAAAACTGCCTGGCTCATGCCTGTAATCCTAGCATGTTCAAAGGCCGAGATGGGTGGATCACCTAAGGTCACAACTTTCAGACCAGCCCGGACAACATGGTGAAACCCCATCTGTACTAAAAATACAATAAATTAGCCAGGCATCATGGCAGGAGCCTGTAATCCCATCACCTTGGGAGGCAGAGACGGGCAGATCACAAGGTCAAGAGATCAAGACCATCCTGGCCAACATGGTGAAACCTCGCCTCTACTAAAAATAGAAAAATATTAGGCAGGCACAATGGCACTTACCTGTGGTCCCAGATACTCCGGAGGCCTGAGGAGGAAGAATGCTTGAACCCAGGAGGTGGAGGCTGCAGTAAGCCAAGATTGGGCCAGCGCACTCCAGCCTGGTGACAAAGCCGGAATCCGTCTAAAATAAACAAATAAGCCAGTCATAGTGGCTCATGCCTGTAATCCAAGCACTTTGGAGGCAAAGGCGGGCGGATCACCTGAGGGCGAGAGTTCATGACCCACCTGACAAATATGGTGAAACCCCATCTTTAAATGAAAAAAAGAAAGAAAAGTAAATAATAAATAAATAAGTAAATACATGCAAGACTGCCTCTAAATCATTATACAGATAGTTAAGAAAATGAATAAATGCAAGCCTGCACACAAAGTATAAAAATAATGTTGTGAGCCTGGGTCTAAATAAAATAAATGAGTAAATGTGAGCCCGCCTCTAAATAATCAGCTAGCAAGCTAGATAAATACATAAATCCAAGTCTGCCTCCAAATACTTAAATAAATAAATTCGGCCTGCTTCTCCATTACTACGCAATAAATAAATAAATAACTGCAAGTCTGCCTCCAAATAAATCAATAGATAAATAAATCAATAAATAAGCAGCCCCACTTGGTGGCTCATGTTTTTAATACCCCACCCATTGGGAGCCTGAGCTGGCTGTATCACCTGAGGTCAGGACATTGAGACCAGCCTGGCCGAGATGGTGAAACAATCCTTGTGTCTATTTTTTTAAAAAAAAGGTAAAAATAATTAAATAAATTAATTAAAACATAAATAAATAAATGCAAGCTGGCCTTCCTGTCTCTAAGTAAATAAATCAGAAACTTTGTAAATAAGTAAATAAAGGCTGGGTGAGCTGGCTCAGTCCTGTAATCCCAGCACTTTGGGAGGCCAAGACCGATGGATCACGAGGTCAAGAGATCAAGACCACCCTGGCCAACATGGTGAAACCTCGTCTCTACTAAAAAGATAAAAATATTAGCCAAGCTCGGTGGCACTTGCCTGGGGTCCCAGATACTCCAGAGGCTGAGAATCACTTGAACTCAGGAGGTGGAGGTTGCAGGAAGCCAAGATTGGGCCAGTGCACTCCAGCCTGGTGACAGAACAAGACCCCCTCTAAGATAAATAAACAAACGAACAAACAAATGCCCTATGTCTTAATAGTAAATTGTACTGTTAGGTCTTACAAAAATGAATGTGAAAGGGAATGTTCTGCAAGATGGAACAAAATCGCAAATTTAGATCTTTGTAATTTTTACTGTTAATTTTCTATTATAGAATAACAATAACACTGCAGCACCCTAAAACATATATAAGAGGGAAAAATCATTCACAATGATTATAGCCTGACATTAACAGTATTTGCATTTTTGTGTTTCCCAAGCCTCTATTTTTCTGTGGATGTTAAACCATGGCTCTAGCTATAATCCTTATGTATATGAGTATTTCTATGCATATTTCATAAGGGTCTAATCTTAGTGTGCAAACAATTTTCTATCTTTTCTACCATACTATCTAATATATAATATATAACACACACATGCATACATATATAGATAAAATTGTATAGGCTCACTAATATTTAGTGACTAAATAATTTTCTATCTTGTGATGTCATACACATATACACACATATGATGCCATGTGATTGCTCAAAACATTAATTTAGTGAATGAAATTTAATGAAATATATAGTTATTGCAAATATCCCTTGACTGTTACTATTAGTTGCCTTCCATTGTTTATCAGGATGAATTATGCTGAAATCATTATCTTTATGTACCTAAAACTTTTTTCATAATTTGAATTGATTTCCTAGAAAAACTCTAACAAATAGATTTACTCTATCATAGGTTGTAAACATTTTATGATCCTTGATAAATTATGCTTTTCCAGATGATAATTCACATAAATACAAATGACGTCTACAAGATTGCATCTTGACACAATTGGCACCATCACTAATTTTCCCAGTGCTAATGGTGTGTACAAAAAAATGCCAACTAGTTTTAATTTGCATTAATTTATAATAAAAAGGATAATTATTTTATACATTTACTTAATTTGTTCCTCAATGTTATATAAAATTTCAAATGGCTTCATTTTGGAGCTCAGATATATATGTATTTTTATATAGTTATATACAAATGATACACATATAATTTGCCTATAGGGTTTTAAAAATCAAATCATAAGGATTGTTGATATTAGAGAGATATTTAATTTTGCTAAGTTTGCCATAAGTATTGTACCAAATTATTTATTACCTTTTTTAATACAAGTTTAATATTTTTACATTCTTAAATCTAACTCGGGGTATTGTATATGTGTTATTTATTTTATGAATCCTAAGCCTGAAAAACTCATTTCTCTATATATTTTGGATAAATGTTTGATTTTAATTTTTTAAAAAAATTTTTTATATTTTTAAAATGTGACACAGGTAACCATAAAGTATATATAAGTATGCACAATTTAATAAGTATAAAGTGAACACCTCTGTAACCACCAACTAATTCAATATATCTAACATTTCCAGCCTTCCAGCATTCTAGATGCTTTTTGCATGTGACTGTCTGATCACAATCCTTCTTTCCCCTCCTGGAGGTTCCCATAAACAAACCTGACTGGTGAAAATCATTTTCCTGCTTAAAAAAAAAATGATTTCACTACTTAGGACTTAAATATTCAACTGTAACCGATTTAATTTTGTCCATGTTTACCCAAAATATTGTACCATACTATATGCATTATTTTGTGTTATGTTTCCTTTGCTCACCATTATGTGGTTAAGATTACCCATGAATTGCATTTAGCTGTAAGTTCATTTCCTTTGCTACGGACTACTCATTTGGCATTTCCATGAACAAGTGCTATTATGAACAACTTTATACATGTATTTTAGTGCAAATGTGCAAGATTTGCTCCAGAAAAGTACTTGGGAGTAGAACTGCTGGGTGCAGTCTACTCATGTCTTAAACTTTTATATAACCAAACTTTTTTCCAATATGTGTATACTAGTTCACACTCCCACCAGCAATACATGATTACCTTGCTCTACACTTCTCACCACTTAATATTGTGAGCACTTTACTTTTCTTGGTATGGTAGTTTTGAAACAGTAAGTGTGATTTCCATTTGGAGTTTTCTGATAATTAATGAAGTTGACCATATATTCACGCCTTTTAGCCATTTATATTTCCTCAATTGTGAAGTGTATGTGCAATTCTTCTGCAACTATTTTCAATGGAGACATATGGTTTTCTCATTGATTTAGAGAAATTTTATATTCATCTAAACACTAGTAGCTTTTCTGTATAATTTAAAATAATAAATCAAGTCATAATTACATTAATTTAAATCTTTTGTTCTTTTAAAAACTTATTTCCTACACTAATATCATGAAAGAAGTTTCCATTATTGTGACCCTAAATGCTTTCAGGTATTATTTTCTCATATTTAGGCTTATAATTTACCTGAAATTGCTTTTAAGTACAGTATGACATAGTAGCCCAATTTCATTTTCTTATTTATGAATAACTTCTATTTAGTTTTCTATTTTTTCCTTCTGTTTGAAATTGGAACCTACATGCTTTGTTTCTATTCCTTTAGTAGTTGCACAAAACATTCCAACATGCATATCTAATTTATCACAAGCTGAAGTTCACTATACAGGCTGAGAAGCCCTCATCCGAAAATTGAAATCCAAAATACTCCCCTTGCGCGTCACATTGGTGCTCAAAATGTTCTAGATTTTGAAGCATTTTTGGATTAGGGACATTCAATCTATATCTTTATTCTTCTCTTGGACATTACTAAGACCTCTGACAACTTGAAGTTCATTTCTCTTCTCGTCCAAACTTGTATGTTATTATAGTCATGTATTTTAATTTTACTTTATTTACATACTTTGAGATAGAGTCTTACTCTGTCACCAGGCTGGAGTGCAGTGGTACAATCTCAGCTCACTGCAACCTCCGCCACCTGGGTTCAAAGGATTCTTCTGCCTCAGCTTCACAAGTAGCTGAAACCACAGGTGCGTGCCACCACCATGCCCAGCTACCCTACTTTATATTTTAAAGCCAATTATACAGATTTATCATGGTATTATGCAGCTAATATTTATTCAGATTTGCCAATGTACCTGCCACTTTTTTTGTTCACTTGCAAATCAGACCTTCCAGCCAAGATCACTTTTCCTTTTTGTCTTTTCTCCTGAAACTTTTACCACAAGATCACTTTCTACTACTGAAAATATCTTCAGATTACATGTAATGAGGATTTTTGAGCTTTTCTTTTTCTAAACTTTATTTTGCCTTTATCCTTAAAGGATACTTTCAGCAGGAGTAAAGTTCTAGCTTGGTAGTTACTTTAGTTACTTTCTTTACACATCATTAAGTACATCAAACAACTATCTTCTGGCTTCCATGATGGCTCTCAATAAGGGAGCTTGCAGTCATTCATTTGAATGTAATCTGTTCATTCTGTTTACTTGCTTTAAGTTGGTATATGTGCTTGGCATGCTGCAGTTTCTATGGCTTGGCTGGTGTGTTCTTTCTTCTTCAATTTACCCTACTTGTGATTCAGTGAAATTCCTGAATCTCAAGATAAGGATCTTTATCAATTCTGGTAAACTTTGAGATATTATCTCACCAAGTATTAATTATGCTTCAGCCTTTCTAGGAATTCTGATTAGATATATTTTAAATCTTCTCAATCTATCCTTCATTTCTCTTTCATATTTCTTGATTTTTTTTTGTCAATTGGTGTTATGTTCTGAATATTTTCTTCTCTATTTTTCAGTTTACTAATTCTCTCTTCAGATGTATCTAATCTCCCATGTGTGGGGTGGTGTGGTGGTGTAGAATTCAATTGATTCACTTGTTTACTTGTTTCAAAAATTCTATTTGGCTTTCAAACCTGCTGGATTGTTTTAAATATTTTCTATGGCCTATAAATTTTAAAATTTGCCTTTTACTTCAAGAATAAGAATAGTTGTTTTAAAATCTGTGTCTGATACCTCCAACAACTGAAGTAGTTATAGACTTGTTTCTGCTGGTTCCTTACTTCCATGTGTAGGTTAAAAATTTTTAAAAAGCTACAATAAATCAGAAAGTAGAGATGCATCTTCATTAGTCATGAAATCAAGGAAGACAGAAGGGCATAGTTTTTCAGATATTCATGGGGAGACTTTTGGGTAGACTCTGGGCTACCCTACAGCTTTTACAAAAAGTATTGTGGGAATGTTAGTTTGACCTTCTCCCTGTAAGTCTCCAGGTATAAATATTAGCAGTCAGGTTGAGGATGCGAGGCTTATGTCAAATATTTCTTTTTGGGGGCTGCCATCTCATCAGGGCCAACTGCTTTGACTTTTAACTTGCTTTTAAATGTATCTCTGCTCTTAAAATTCATGAACTATGCCCTTACTGATATTAAGTGATTTGTCCTTTGATTCCCTTATGGTGGAAAAAAAGCCTTTATACATTAGCTTGAATTGTGACCACATTTAAAGGCACAAAAGCTGAGTATGAATTTCTTTAAAAGGCTTTCATGTGGCTGTGAGTCCATACATTGCCTTGAAATGGCAGACTGCAATTAAACTCGTCTAAATTCCATGAACTGTACTGAGCACCCACTAGAACACCATGCACTGGCTCTGTGGATATCAGGACAAATGAGACACAGTCCTGGTTGGATCATAGATTATTCCCTTTTCCTTTTATCTCTTATTCCTAAGAAAACCAGGAAAAGTGTGAGTCAAGGACATTAGACAGCTCCAAGTTCAATACTCAGATGTATGTGAGCTTACACAATTAAGGAGCATTGGCTTTTAACATATGAATGTTTGTAAGTTGATACCAAAGAAACTACATTTGCTAAGAGAGTGCTTGAGCCAGGTGCGGTGGCTCAAGCCTCTAAACCCAGCACTTTGGGAGGCCAAGGTGGGCTGATCACAAGGTCAAGAGATTGAGACCATCTTGGCCAACATGATGAAACCCCATCTCTACTAAAATACAAAAATATTAGCTGGGCATGGTGGCACATGCCTGTGGTCCCACCTACCCAGGAGGCTGAGGCAGAATTGCTTGAACCCAGGAGGCAGAGGTTGCAGTGAGCTGAGATCGCACCACTGCACTCCAGCCTGGCACCTGGCAACAGAGCAAGACTATCTCAAAAAAAAAAAGAAAAAAGTTTGAAGCTATCCAGAGCCATATTCCTGATGAACAAGGAAATGGCATCATTATTTTATAGCTGTAGGATTCTTCCTGTCTCCCTCCTTCTTCCTTTTCTTCTCCTGTGCTCCCCAGTGTGGTTACCCACTTCTCTGTGACCCAGCCCTAAATCTAAAGCCCAAGTGCCCCAAGTAATGGCTGTGCAGATATCAACTTTGAAAGAGTGCTCTGAACTCAGTGTGGAGCTGCAGGAAGAAGATATGGAGAAGAGTTGTATGTGGACCACATCAGGAAGGCAGGTTGGCTAAACGTTTATCTGACAAGCTTTGATTTGTGCAGAGCCCACCTGCTATTTGGTGCCAGCAATAGGCAAAACTGACTCACTCACTGTGATTCATGTGACTATCCTGGCAAACTGCAACCAACTGAAGGCCACCTAAGCACCCATGCCATGTGTGCATAACGGCCGCCATCAAGATGCTCTGAAGGGCTGCACCCTTGCAGGCAGTTCAATAGTTCAGTGTGCCAGAGACATGCTGAGGTGTCTCTTCTGTCCTAGCCCTTCTCATGTCCACCTGCCTAGAGGCCCATTGAGAGCCCGAGCTCTGCTGAAAAGGTGAGGCCCTCCTATACTACGTTACACAACACAAATGTCTCACCACAGAATCTTTCATCTTCTTGGGGAGAGGATCAGCAGCTGACTCTTCCAGATTTTGATGTAAAAACTTAGGAAACAGTCTGCATTGAATGAAGAACCTGAAAGTGGAAAAACACATAGGTTTTACTTTATCAATGACGTCCCTGGGGCAGTGTTTTTGGTAAATAACTTCACCTTAGATCTCACACCCACACATGACAAAAGCAGCGCCCTCTTCATTTAAAATCTAAAAAGAGGTACTTGTTCAAGTGATCATAATTCTCAATTTCACCCTAATGAGAGCAGTCAAGTACCTCAGCAGCAGCATCACCCTCTACTGTCAGCAGTGGGACAAAGGAACGGTCCTCCATCTCTGACAGCCCACTAGAGCTTCATCTTCACAAACAATTAGCAGCAGAAAGTGAACACTGAAGTAATACAACTGACACTAAAAAGTGTGAGAACCATTTAACTTTTCTTTTTTCCATTTTTCATGCCTTTGATACTGCCGCATCTAATAGCCTAAAATTATGCTGTCTCTGGTCCTCCAAGAGTATGGTTATCTTAAATCAAAATTTTTCATAAATTTAAACACATTACATAAGATGCTACTGTCAGTATCGGAAACTCACTCTGGCATCACTTGAAAGACTTCCAGTGCCAGAGTACATGTGACCAAAGGTTTAAAAGATACGATGAAAGGGAAGATTGCAATGTATATGTTCACATTACTAAGGATCACATTAAATACACTTTGGTGCAAATCTCACTTTAAATCCAGAGGGCATTGGCCAGATTGAGAACCAACACCACCACAACAAAATAGAACAAAAATGTTTCCTTTCAGAGGTACTGGTTTAGTCTCCACAGGTAACTGCCTCAATGCAGGGATGCAGTTTAATGGATCTAGAGAAAGTATTGTTGAGGTGGTAGCTTCTCACCCAACTCACCCAAGGGAAAGTCACAACAGGGCTTGGGTGCTATTGGCCATCTGTTCCTGCCACTGTGCATTTTACTCCAAAATCAAAGGAGCAAAGCCAAAATGTTTGCTGGATGTTCACTTTTAACTGTTACTAATTTCTGGCTGGTCCTGTATTTCTCCTGCCCTCCTCTGGTGAATGACCAGCTAGTTTAATAATGAGAGTCAAATTACAATAGGCAGTGATTTGCCATCTCCCCACCTCAGTCAGGGCAAAACGCTGTGGGAACCGCGCCCCCCTGCTCAGTGATGACAGCACAGGATCACTCACATGAACACAGATGGGTCACTGCTCTGCCAGCTCAGATGGTAGGAAACGGTGACCAAGAGGCCACAGAAGGCTGAGAACAGCATCAGGATGTGTTACGTGCTCCATGGATCCTAAAGAACATATGTCAGTTAGCCAAGTCACTCCACAGTTATGTGAATAACAGGATCTCTATCAAACATTAGAAACATCTCCACAGTCTCTTTCTGTCCTAGCCCTTCTCATGTCCACCTGCCTAGAGGCCCATTGAGAGCCCGAGCTCTGCTGAAAAGGTGAGGCCCCTCCTATACTACGTTACACAACACAAATGTCTCACCACAGAATCTTTCATCTTCTTGGGGAGAGGATCAGCAGCTGACTCTTCCAGATTTTGATGTAAAAACTTAGGAAACAGTCTGCATTGAATGAAGAACCTGAAAGTGGAAAAACACATAGGTTTTACTTTATCAATGACGTCCCTGGGGCAGTGTTTTTGGTAAATAACTTCACCTTAGATCTCACACCCACACATGACAAAAGCAGCGCCCTCTTCATTTAAAATCTAAAAAGAGGTACTTGTTCAGTGATCATAATTCTCAATTTCACCCTAATGAGAGCAGTCAAGTACCTCAGCAGCAGCATCACCCTCTACTGTCAGCAGTGGGACAAAGGAACGGTCCTCCATCTCTGACAGCCCACTAGAGCTTCATCTTCACAAACAATTAGCAGCAGAAAGTGAACACTGAAGTAATACAACTGACACTAAAAAGTGTGAGAACCATTTAACTTTTCTTTTTTTTTCCATTTTTCATGCCTTTGATACTGCCGCATCTAATAGCCTAAAATTATGCTGTCTCTGGTCCTCCAAGAGTATGGTTATCTTAAATCAAAATTTTTCATAAATTTAAACACATTACATAAGATGCTACTGTCAGTATCGGAAACTCACTCTGGCATCACTTGAAAGACTTCCAGTGCCAGAGTACATGTGACCAAAGGTTTAAAAGATACGATGAAAGGGAAGATTGCAATGTATATGTTCACATTACTAAGGATCACATTAAATACATTTTAACACTTTGGTGCAAATCTCACTTTAAATCCAGAGGGCATTGGCCAGATTGAGAACCAACACCACCACAACAAAATAGAACAAAAATGTTTCCTTTCAGAGGTACTGGTTTAGTCTCCACAGGTAACTGCCTCAATGCAGGGATGCAGTTTAATGGATCTAGAGAAAGTATTGTTGAGGTGGTAGCTTCTCACCCAACTCACCCAAGGGAAAGTCACAACAGGGCTTGGGTGCTATTGGCCATCTGTTCCTGCCACTGTGCATTTTACTCCAAAATCAAAGGAGCAAAGCCAAAATGTTTGCTGGATGTTCACTTTTAACTGTTACTAATTTCTGGCTGGTCCTGTATTTCTCCTGCCCTCCTCTGGTGAATGACCAGCTAGTTTAATAATGAGAGTCAAATTACAATAGGCAGTGATTTGCCATCTCCCCACCTCAGTCAGGGCAAAACGCTGTGGGAACCGCGCCCCCTGCTCAGTGATGACAGCACAGGCATAGATCACTCACATGAACACAGATGGGTCACTGCTCTGCCAGCTCAGATGGTAGGAAACGGTGACCAAGAGGCCACAGAAGGCTGAGAACAGCATCAGGATGTGTTACGTGCTCCATGGATCCTAAAGAACATATGTCAGTTAGCCAAGTCACTCCACAGTTATGTGAATAACAGGATCTCTATCAAACATTAGAAACATCTCCACAGTCCAGCTGGATGGATGCGTTAATTCCTGTGATCATTCCTGCCCATGGACATATAAGTATCTAGTGGGCACACAAAAAACCTCACCTGTTGGTTTATGAACATTGATTTTGATAAGGGATTGGGTAGGGGGAGTTTTGACTAATTGTAAATACTTATAAGAATAAAACTGAATCTTTCCTGAAATTAAGCTTAGGATTTTTTATAGAATGTAATATTAAACATGTGTCACTCTTCTGAATTCAATGTAACAATTATAAATAATTATTTTTTCTCAATGTTTATTAATTGCTAGTCTAAATGGCATAAGTATAAAAAGTGGCATAAGAGATTAAACAGACTAATAAACTGAAAACTTGATGAAGATTAAAGATAGCTGAAAGATTTCCAGTGCAAGAGTACACTGTTACTAAAGACTTAAGATATGATTAAATCAAAGATTGTAATGTATATATTCATGTTATTAAGGAATACACTAAATACATTTTAACACTTTGGTACAAATCTCACTTTAATGGCGTAAGCAAAGAAAGAGCAAAGTTATTTGAAATGAAAAGAGAAAGGCACTTCAGGTTTAATTTGATAGAAGCACAGATGTCAGTTATCAACACATGGTACTCAGACTGGTAGAGCAGAACTTGAAAATACATGTTACCAGCCCAAGTAGTGTGGTGGGCCTGGGACTCCAGGTCTCCTTCTATACACACCTGCTGCTCCCACTAAAACAAACATGTCTCTCACATGCCAAGAAGAAAACATCTACATATTAACCGTCTCAATCACCATCAACAGAATCACTGATCCCTTCTGGAAGCTAAATTTAGTCAAGAAATTAAATACTTTTTTCTCAAGATTTTTTTTTAAGATGGGTTGTCAATTGTGCTCACATGATGTTCAAATGAACGAGTCAAGTGTACTTAGCAGTTATCCTCTGTAACTGCTAAGATAGGCTGGAAAGCAAATATACCCTGAATAGAGCAGGTAATTTTATTTTTGAATGCTTCATTTTTCTTACAAATTAAAATGTATTTCTTTTACCCTCCCCATTGTAGAAGTCTTAACGAACGAGAGCAGTACCTGGAACACAATTGCAGGGAGCCGACTCTCGCAGAGACTGCTGAGCTGCATGGTTATAAGGTCAGGAAGTATGACTCACTGATCCCAGACGTATCTCCACACAGATTCCCCACACCAAGACGTCCCGTGTGCCTCTCAGATCAGCTTCCCCAGAGGTCAGGTGCATTGCCTTTTCCAGCGCCCTAAGGTACCATGGCTGCATTCATTATTTTTTAGATTCTGTGCAGATGTCTTCCTCACCAATTTTGTTAAAAAACTTAAACCCAGTGATGAAGCATCCTCCATGGACCTTTTTCTTCCTTTGGAGTTTTCATCAGCAACACCTTCCCTTCCAGTATCCAAGGAAGAGGTGTACTTCCTCCTTCCTGAGCCAAACCCTCCCCTCAGATCACGATGTCCTACTCTTTTTCATTGGTCCCCTCTGCCCAGCCGTTAAAAATACTAAGTTGCTGACATCTTTTTTATTTTGAGATGGAGTCACTATCACCCAGGTTGGAGTGCAGTGAACACGATCTCGCCTCACTGCAACAACCTCCACTCACTTCAACCTCCACCTCCCAGGTTCAAGTGATTCTCCTACCACAGCCTCCCGAGTGCCCAGGATTACAGGTGTGCACAACCACAACCAGCTAATTTTTTTGTCACCATGTTGGTCAGGGTGGTCTCAACTCCTGACCTCAGGTGATCTGCTCCCCTTGGCTTTTCAAAGTGCTGGGATTATAGGCATGAGTCACCATACCCGGCCAGTTGCTGACATCTTTAACAAATAGTCAGTCCTCCTTCCCTTGTTCCAGTTGCCCTCGAAAGCTACTGTACTATCCTAGTCTGTTTGGGCTGATATAACAGAATACCATAGACTGGGTGGCTTATAAACCCACAGAAATTTCTCACATTTGTGAAGGCTGAAAGCCCAAGGTCAGGGTGGAGGAAGGAGAAGTTTGTTGTCGGGGAAGCCCTGATTCCTAGATGGTGCCTGTTTGCTGTGTTCTCAGGTGGTAGATGTAACAGAGCCACTCCAGGGTCTCTTTGACCAGGCACTAATTCGATTAATGAGGACTCCTCCCTCAATAGCTGCAATCACCTCACAAAGTCCTCACCTCTGATATGGTTACATTGGGGATTAGGATTCAACATGAACTTTGAGGCAGACATTCAGTCTATAGCATATGCTATCCCCTTTTTTTTTTTTTTTTTTTTTGAGACGGAGTTTCCTGTTGTTACCCAGGCTGAAGTGCAATGGCATGATCTCCGCTCACTGCAACCTCCGCCTTCTGGGTTCAAGCAATTTTGCTGCCTCAGCCTCCTGAGTTGCTGAGACTACAGGCGTGTGCCACCATGCCCAGCTAATTTTTTGTATTTTTAGTAGAGACAGGGTTTCACCATGTTGACCAGGATGGTCTCAATCTCTTGACCTCATGATCCACCCGCCTCGGCCTCCAAAGTGCTGGGATTATAGGCACGAACCACCGTGCCCCGCCCCCTCTTTTTTCTTTAAGTGCCATCCCAGCCTTTTGCAGGTCTGGGCTCCACATTTCACTTCTGTCATCGGTGAGTAACTCAGTAGTCTCTGTTATACCAGGTACCTTTAAGGACTGGAGGTCCTACCGCAAGCTGTGTGAGGCTTTGCCCTCCCAAAGTGCTAGGATTACAGGCATGAGACACTGTGCCCAGCCTTAGTATTATTATTAAGACAGAGTTTTAGCTCTTATTGCCCAGGCTGGAGTGCAATAGTGCAATCTTGGCCCACGGCAACTTCCACCTCCTGGGTTCAAGTGATTCTCAAATGATTCATCCTCCCAAGTAGCTGGGACTACCGGCATGCACCACCACGCCCAGATAATTTTTTTTTGCATTTTAGTAGAGATGGGCTTTACCATGTTGGTCAGGCTGGCCTCAAACTCCTGACCTTAGGTGATCTACCTGCCTTGGCCTCTGAAAGTGCTGGGATTACCCAATACACCACAGTGTTGGGCAGTGTGTAAAGACAGCTGGAGCCAGAATGTTCGTGAGGCTGATTATTGTTGAAGCTGGGTGTCAGTACATAGGGTTCATTATGCATTCTCTAGCTGTTTATAGACAGAAATTCCCATAATAATTGATTTTAAAAGAAATCAGCCAGGCAAAGTGGCTCATGCCTATAATTCCTGCACTTTGGGATGAAAGTGGAAGATGGCCTGGGGCCAGGAGTTTGAGACCAGCCTGGGCAACACAGGAAGACCCTGTCTCTACAATAATTCAAAATTAGCCAGGCGTGGTGGTGCACACCTGTAGTCCCAGCTACTTTGGAGGCTAAAGTGGGAGGACCATTTGAGCTCATGAGTTTGAGGCTGCAGTGAGCTATGACTGCACCATTGCACTCTGG